ATGGGCTGGGTTTAGGACTAGTAAAGTGTAGGCTAGAACTAGTTGTATACAAGCTAGAACTAGGATAATAGAATCTAGAACAAACATAGAGTAAGAATTAATAAGTGTGAAGGTAAAATACGAAGGTTGGATTTAGAAATAGCAAGGTGTGGGCTAGAACTGGCTGTATACAAGCTATAACTAGGGTAATAGAAGCTAGAACTAAGGTATAAGCTAGAATTAACAAGTGTGCATGTAAAAAACGAGGGCTGGGTTTAGAACTAGCAAGGTGTGGGCTAGAACTAGCTGTATACAAGCTAGAACTAGGGTAATAAAAGCTAGAACTAACGTAGAAGCAAGAATTAACAAGTGTGAAGGTAAAATATGAAGGCTGGGTTTAGAACAAGCAAGGTGTGGGCTAGAACTGGATGTATACAAGCTAGAACTAGGGTAATAAAAGCTAGAACTAAGGTAATAAAAGCTAGAACTAAGGTAGAAGCTAGAATTAACAAGTGTGCATGTAAAAAATGCGGGCTGGGTTTAGAACTAGCAAGGTACGGGCTAGAACTGACTGTATACAAGCTAGAACTAGGGTAATAGAAGATAGAACTAACATAAAAGCAAGAAGTAACAAATGTGAAGGTAAAATACGAAGGCTAGGTTTAGAACTAGCAAGGTGTGGGCTAAAACTGACTATATACAAATCAGAACTAGGGTAATAGAAGTTAGAACTAATGTAGAAGTTAGAATTAACAAGTGTGTATGTAAAAAACACAGGCTGGGTTTAGAACTAGCAAGGTGTGGGCTAGAACTAGTTGTATACAAGCTAGAACTAGGATAATAGAAGTTAGAACTAACGTAGAAGCATGAATTAACAAGTGTGAAGGTAAAAAACGCGGTCTGGGTTTAGAACTAGCAAGGTGTGGGTTAGAACTGGCTATATACAAGCTAGAACAAGGGTAATAGAAGCTAGAACTAACGTAGAAGCATGAATTAACAAGTGTAAAGGTAAAAAAACACGACCTGGGTTTAGAACTAGCAAGGTGTGGGCTATAATTGATAGTATACAAGCTAGAACTAGGGTAATAGAAGCTAGAACTAAGGTATAAGCTAGAATTGACAAGTGTGCATGTAAAAAACGCGTGCTAGGTTTAGAACTAGCAAGGTGTGGGCTAGATATGGCTATATGCAAGCTAGAACTAGAATAATAGAAGATAGAACTAAGGTAGATGCTAGAATTACAAGTGTGCATGTAAAAAACGCGGGCTAGGTTTAGAACTAGCAATGTGTGGGCTAGAACTGGCTATATATAAGCTAGAACTAGGGTAATAGAAGCTAGAACTAATGTAGAAGTAAAAATTAACAAGTGTGAAGGTAAAATACAAAGGCTGGATTTAGAACTAGCAAGGTGTGGGCTAGATTTAGTTGTATACAAGCTAGAACTAGGGTAATAGAAGCTAAAACTAAGGTAGAAGCTAGAATTAACAAGTGTGCATGTAAAAAACACGGGCTGAGTTTGGAACTAGCAAGGTGTGGGCTAGAACTGGCTGTATACAAGCTAGAACTTGAGTAATAAAAGTTAGAACTAATGTAGAAGCAATAATTAACAAGTGTGTATGTAAAAAACACGGGCTGGGTTTAGAACTAGCAAGGTGTGGGCTAGAACTGGCTGTATACAAGCTAGAACTAAGGTAATAGAAGCTAGAACTAAGGTAGAACCTAGAATTAACAAGTGTGCATGTAAAAAACACGGGCTGGGTTTAGAACTAGCAAGGCGTGGGCTAGAACTGGCTGTATACAAGCAAGAACAAGGGTAATATAAGGTAGAACTAACGTAGAAGCATGAATTAACAAGTGTGAAGATAAAAAACTAGGCGTGGGTTTAGAACTAGCAAGGTGTGGGCTAGAACTGGCTGTATACAAGCTAGAACTAGGATAATAGAAGCTAGAACTAAGGTAGAAGCTAAAATTAACAAGTGTGCATGTAAAAAACACGGGTTGGGTTTAGAACTAGTAAGGTGTGAGCTAGAACTGGCTGTATACCAGCTAGAACTAGGGTAATAAAAGCTAGAACTAACATAGAAGCATGAATTAACAAGTGTGAAGGTAAAAAAACACGGGCTGGGTTTAGAACTAGCAAGATGTGGGCTAGAACTGGCTGTATACAAGCTAGAACTAGGGTAATAGAAGCTAGAGCTAAGATAAAAGCTAGAATTAACAAGTGTGCATGTATAAAACACGGACTGAGTTTAGAACTAGCAATGTGTGGGCTAGAACTGGCTGTATATAAGCTAGAACTAGGGTAATAGAAGCTAGAACTAAGGTAGAAGCTAGAATTAATAAGTGTGCATGTAAAAAACGCGGGTTGGGTTTAGAACTAGCAATGTGTGGGCTAGAACTGGCTGTATACAAGCTAGAACTAGGGTAATAGAAGCTAGAACTAACGTAAAAGCAAGAATTAACAACTGTGAAGGTAAAATATGAAGGCTGGGTTTAGAACTAGTAAGGTGTGGGCTAGAACTGACTGTATACAAGCTAGAACTAAGGTAATAGAAGCTAGAACTAAGGTAGATGCTAGAATTAACAAGTGTGCATGTAAAAAACGCGAGCTGGGTTTAGAACTAGCAAGGTGTGGGCTAGAACTGGCTGTATACAAGCTAGAATTAGGGTAATAGAAGCTAGATCTAACATAGAAACAATAATTAACAAGTGTGAAGGTAAAATACGAAGACTTGGTTTAGAACTAGCAAGGTGTGGGCTAGAACTGACTGTATACAAGCTAGAACTAGGGTAATAGAAGCTAGAACTAAGGTAGAAGCTAGAATTAACAAGTGTGCATGTAAAAAACACGGGTTGGATTTAGGACTAGCAAGGTGTGGGCTAGAACTGGCTGTATACAAGCTAGAACTATGGTAATAGAAGTTAGAACTAACGTAGAAGCAAGAATTAACAAGTGTGAAGGTAAAATATGAAGGCTGGGTTTAGAACTAGTAAGGTGTGGGCTAGAACTGGCTGTATACAAGCTAGAACTATGGTAATAGAAGCTAGAACTAAGGTAGAAGCTAGAATTAATAAGTGTCCATGTAAAAAAAGCGGGCTGGGTTTAGAACTAGTAAGGTGTGGGCTAGAACTTGCTGTATAAAAGCTAGAACTAGGGTAATAGAAGCTAGAACTAACGTAGAAGCAATAATTAACAAGTGTGATGGTAAAATACAAAGGCTGAGTTTAGAACTAGCAAGGTGTGGGCTAGAACTGGCTGTTTACAAGCTAGAACTAGGATAATAAAAGCTAGAACTAAGGTAGAAACTAGAATTAACAAGTGTGCTTGTAAAAAACACGGGCTTGATTAAGAACTAGGAAGGTGTGGGCTAGAACTGGTTGTATACAAGCTAGAACTAGGATAATAGAAGTTAGAACTAACGTAGAAGCATGAATTAACAAGTGTGAAGTTAAAAAAAACACGGGTTGGGTTTAGAACTAGTAATGTGTGGGTAAAAACTTACGGTATACAAGCTAGAACTTGGGTAATAGAAGCTAGAACTAAGGTAGAAGCAAAAATAACAAGTAGCGGTTAGAACTAACTTAGTAGCCAGAATTAACAATTGTAGCTGCTAGAACTAACTCGAGGGCTACTAGAACTACCACGATAGCATCTAGAAATAACATATCATTAGGTATAACTATTATCAAATATAATTAACAACGATTTATAAAAACATGACTTTATCCTCATTTATAACAACTATTTATAACTACCGTCCTAGCGTACAACGATTTTTGGTAATTAAATAATTTTTCAGCCTATTTGCTAATTAAGTTTTAAAAGTGGTCTATTTTAAAAATTTGTTCGAAATTAAAATACAAAAAAATTGCGCACATTAGGTTTATTACAAATTCAGCCTCCTCCAAAAAGGCGTGGATGTCTTGTGAATGTGGAAAAATGGGGATAACTTTTGGCTATTTTTAAAAATTAAATCGTTCATTTATTTGTAGCTGGTCAATTATTTTTTTCTTTTTTTTCTTTTCTTCTTCTAGCTAATGGATTAATGCTCTATGCGTCTCGGTCTGGTGACTAAAAAAACATCCATAACAGAATCGGACACAATTTACAAATACAGAAGCTCATAAGGATAAATCCACAACATGAACCCTCAATTGATCAAAGTCATCTCAAATAAAAAAAAAAGTAATTTCCAAATCTCAACGGGGCACAACAACATCATCATTTACGGTAAAGATCAATCTCAAAAACCAACCTACTCTCGTAGCATCATCTTCTTAAATTCATCAAAGTATAAAACACTATCTCTATTAACATCATACCTTCGGATCATCTCCATGCACTCCTCAACAGTCTTCAATTGCCCGAGCTTTTCGAACGTTTTCCTCAAGCTCTGCGGCGATCTACGGCGACGAGGACGGGTGGAGGAGGGGAGGGGAGGCGGCGACGAACTCGAGGGGAGCCTTGAGGGCCTGAGTGGAGGCAACGGCGAGGAGGGCGAGGGCCAGGGTGATGAGCTTGAGAAAGCTCTTAGTTTTAGAGAGAGGAGAGAGAGAGAGAGAGAGAGAGAGAGAGGGAGAGAGATGAGAGAGAGAGAGAGAGAGGAGATGAGAGAGAGAGAGAGAGAGAGAGAGAGGATATGAGTGCGGGGTCTAAGGGATTGAAGAGAGAGGATAAGGATAATTTGGGGATTTTAGCTTAGCTGGCATGTAATAATTAATAAAAAAAGGACTGTAGTACAAAGTGTCACACATCAATGGGCTGATTCACATGGGGAAAACTATGAGGGGCCTCATCACATGAAGTTTCTATTTTTGGGGTCTGTACACATTTTTCCCTTGAATATTTGTTCTTATAGGCTATTTATAGTTCAATAAGATGCTCTTAGTTACACAATTTTGACAAGTGACAGACAATATAATTAATTAATATTATCTGTAGAAAATTTTTCCATAACTCCAACTTTTAAAAGGAGTATGATTTTATGAAGCGATACAACCACAATATGGACTGACAAACATGAGAATGATGTGCAAGAAACAAAGCTATAATTTTTATTCATTTGAAAGATAACAACATATGAAATAGATTTCATTACTCATCAACATGCTCAACAATTTCAAGTAGAGATTGACACAACTCCTGTGGCCTTGAAAACATGGGCATATGATCCGATCCTTCAATCTCGAACACTTTCTTCACACAATTACTCCGAATCATCTGCTGTTGATACTCTTTCACGATTATTGCGTCGTCGCAACACACCACGTAGAAACTAGGCACCGAGCCATACCTGTCCTTAGACAATGCCGACGTGCTCTCAAGATCTTCTAAAAACATCGGGCAAGGCCTCAGGAGCGTGCTCGCTAACATGAGATCCTACACACCAAAACATCTCATTATATCATTCTAAGCTCAAAAATCCAAGCCCCTGCATGTAAATTTCACAAAATTTATCTGTATGAGAAGTTTGGAGCACTTCGATATAACTCCCAAAAAAGTTTGGAAATGCCATATGAGTCCTAGGGCTGTCCAAAACAGCCCCCGGTCCGGGCCCGGCCGGGCCATGGCCTCGCCCCGGAAACCCGGACCAGGTCCGGGCTCCGGGCCGGACCCGGGCCGGCTCTTTTGTGCCCGGCCCGGGCCCGGATTATTTTTTATTATTTTTTTATTTTTTATTTTTATGTATTATATTATATATGTATATATAAATATATATAATATGTATAATATATGTATATATAAGTATACTTTCTCTTATATAAGTATATATATATAAGAATACTCTCTTTTATATATGTATAATGTATGTATGTATGTATATATATACTCTCTCTCTTAGTATATATGTATATATATGTATACTCTCTCTTATATATGTATACTCTCTCTTATATAAGTATATATAAGTATACACTCTCTTATATATGTATTGTGTGTATATATATATATATACTAATATACTCTCTCTCTTAGTATATATGTATAGTATATATAAGTATATACTATATATGTATAATATATATGTGTGTGTGTGTATATATATATATATATACTCTCTCTCTCTCTTAGTATATATGTATATATAAGTATACTCTCTCTTATATATGTATACTGCTTATTATATAAGTATACTCTTTTATATATGTGTGTGTGTACTCTCTCTCTTAGTATATAAGTATATATAAGTATAGTATATTACAACGGTTACTTCTTCCCCATTGGCCCAACGAGCAACGGCTAGAGAGCTACTTATGCGATTCTCTCCCTCTCTCTTAAATTATAACTTATAAATATATAAAATATATTTACATATAATATATGTATATATTAATATATAGTTACATAATAATTTGGAAGTATATACTAATACATAATTATATAAAATATAATAATATTAAACTAATTTTTAGCATTTTTTATCCAAAAAAAAAGAAAAGAAATTTAAAAAAACCTAGTTGGGATGTACTTATCTATTGTGATGCGATGAATTCCAAAATAAATTTATACTTGTAATTTATAAATGATTTATTAATTATTAATAAAGAATTTATTTTTATAATTTTTTATTTGTAATTTATGTTATTTTAAGTGATTAATAAAATTATTATTTTACTATTATTTTTTTGTCTTTTTTTATAATTTAAAACTTAAATAAAATGTAAAAATTTGATAAAAAAAATTAAAAAAAAAAGAAAAAAACTCGGTCCGGATGGACAGGCCTACATATGACCTCCGAAAAAGTTAATAAGTTTTTAGGGTCCACTCATCTCGCTTTCAAATTAATATACATCAAACAAAAAGAAAAGGGTCCACTCATCTCAAAATGGTTACTAAGTTTTTTGGACCAAACATCTCGCTCTCAAATATACATCAAACAAAAAGTTATCTCAAAATGGACCAAACAGTTTGCAGGTTTCGTGAAATTTGTTGTATTTTTTTTACGTAGCACGAAAAAATCAAGATGCATATACCTCCTGTGAGCAGAGTTGATAGAGGTTGTAAGCGATGGTCTGAGGACCGAATATCATCCTGGAAGGGGGAGGAATTTTACTTTCTGTTGGGGCTTCAATAGGGGTGAGCTGTGTATCGAGCGACATAAACAGTGGACTGAACAGGAGATCCTACATGCATATGTTCAAATAAATTAAATTTGACAGCATAAGTTCGCAAAATATTTATTGAAGATAGTAATTAATGATGATATTTTAGACCATTTATCCTTTGTGTTGACAATTTTTGATCGTTCAAATGAGCATTGCATAATTTTGAAGGTTCATGGGTCCTCTTTACTTTATAAATTTTACAAGGGATTTGTGCAAACCTCCACAAAGTTCAAGAGGTTCGATGAAATTTATCCAAAAACAATATCATTACCTTGCCGCTTATTCCCAATTAATCTAATCTAGATATAGTCTAAAAAAATCTTTCAGTTTTTTTGTATAAATCTTTTCTAAGGTAAAAATAGGGCAAGAGCCCTATTCTAAAGTATATACTAATATTTACCATAAGAGAAAAACATTATCATTGATGTGATAATTCCTATCTAAATTGGAAAATGCGAAGTGTACTAAAAAATTTGAAATTCTTGATAACTAGACACAAATAAGCAGGGCTCAGAGAAGCTCATTATTTCCCTTTATAATTTATAAGAAATGTTTCACTTTTTATTATGAAATAGTACAAAAATAGTACAACTCTTGTGTACGCACACTTATCATTATTCATCTAAATTAGAGAGACCCAAACCTTGAAAAAGTATAAGTGCACCCGCTCCAGTAGATCATTAGATTTCTGGATTCTTACATAGATCTAAAGGTTGACATCTTTTAGATATACCCGCTCCAGTAGATCATTAGATTTCTGGATTCTTACATAGATCTAAAGGTTGACATCTTTTAGATATAGATTTAACGTCATGGGCTGTGATATTTTCTCACAAAACCCTTTCTATCTATGAGAATAAGGAGCAAACGTGATCGTCACTTATTAGGAACATGTACATGGAGATTATCGTAGTACCTTAAGAAGACGGCCGGGGCTAGATTCACAGTCGGGCATAAGCGCCGTAACAAAAACCAAACCCGCAACTTTCTCCGGGAACTTCTCCGCCGCCAGCGCCACGCTGAGCCCGCCGAGGCTGTGACCCACCAAGATCACCTTCTCCGTCGACGGTAGCGAAGCCACGACATCCATCAGCGGCTGCGAATAATCAGCGAAAGAAGCAACCTCCTCGAGCCTCGTTGCGTCGATCCCTGAGGTGTCCTGCGGATTTGAGAAGTGTCCTGCGGATTTGAGGTCAGGGATTGTCACTTGGTGTCCTGCGGATTTGAGAAGTGTCGCTAGTTTGTACCAGGACCACGCTCCATGGGAAGCTCCATGGACCAGAATTATGCGGCGCTTGTTCTCTGTAGGTTCGGCCATGGTTCCCTCCTGATCTGGGAATTAGTGTCAAGTTGCTGTGTGCTATGTATAGAGGCGATCGAATACTCTAGTAGTTTGCTAGCGGCCAAGAGCACTCTATTACAAAAGGGTCAATTATTGGATATATGGACCCCCTCTGTTATCGTTGTTCCGAATTGGATGGCACCGCAGGCACAACCCCATCCACATCTTGGGGCACACCTTCTCTTTCAGCTACAGTACACGGGGTCCACTTTAGATTTTAAAAAAAAATTTAAAATGGGCCCCGTGCACTATAGCTGAGAGAGAGGATATGCCCCAAGGTGTGGTTGGGGGTGTGCCTGCAGTGTTTTCTTTTCGAATTTTCTATTCTTCTAGACCTCAGTTTGAATTTTTTTTACTTTGTTATTCTTAGAGAAAGGCTTTAAAAAAATAGTTTAACAGTTGACAACTTGAGGCTAAGAGACAAAGAATTCCACTTTAAGGTTTCGTTTGGATAACATTGTATTTTTCTTATTGTGTTTTTATAAAAATACATCACAATGTGTTTTTGTATTTTTCTTATTGTGTTTTTATAAAAATACATCACAATGTGTTTTCTTCTTAAAGTGTTTTTAAAACAATCTGTTTAGTATTTTTGGTCAGCACTAGTTTGACTCGTAACAACATTAGTATTAAACATATTATTAATATATATTATACTAGTTATAATAGAATATATTATAAATAAAATATTTTAATAGTTACTTTATATTATTATAGTATTATAATATTAAATATAATACAATATAATATTGTATAATATATGATAATACTATATCTTAGTTTAATCTATTATATTATATTATAACTATTATATATTATATTCAAATAATAATAGATTTAATTACTTTGGTATATCAGTTTGTTATCGCTATACTTTATATAATATTTGTAAAATAATATTGTTTTATTATTACTATAATATTATACTATTATTGATATAATATAATATTATTAATCATTTTAATATTATGTTATTATGAGTATACTATTAATATATTATAAATATTTTAATATTATATAATATATTATGGTGTCTAACATGTTAGAGTTTATCAATAATTTATGATATAAATAAATAATATCATATTATGAATATATTATTTTTACACTAAGATTTTTTAGCAATAAATTATTTTAGTATTAAAAATTATTTTACTTTATAAATTTTTATACTATTTATTATCTAATACATATTAAAACTTTATATATTATATTATATTTACTATGCAATATATTATTAAACTTTTATTATTTTATTATTTTGTTATTAAATATGCTACAATTAACCCCTATCCTATTATGGGAGCCCCCTCAAAAATCCATCTTTGTTTTCCCTATTCTTTGTTTCGTACACTTTTGCCTCTTTGCCTATTATTCTTAGGTCCCTGTTAGGACCCATGTTCGTCCACTTGTAGGGATATATGCATATTATGTGAAAAGTAATTTATGATTTACATATATTTTTGTGTAATTTTTACATAAAAGGAGTTAAATATAATCACCATGACAAAAATAATGGTATATCTGTTGTTAGTTAGGCACATATTCTCATTAATTCTGGCCGTTGATGCAAGCGCATGATTTGGAGTCTAATAATAAAATATAGTTGTAGATGTGGATACAAAGTATAGTTGTAAAAACACCAATTACAAAGTGTTTATAAATTAAATCGTAGTCGAAGTCAAATGTCCACATAGCCTCATGTCAATACAAAAAAGAAACTAGGGTGTTGCTACAGGGACCCTAAATAGGGTACCCTACATGGAACATGTGATGTGTCACTTTCCTGTCCCGTGACGCACTGTTCATGAACAGTGCGTCACGGGACAGGAAAGTGACACATCACATGTTCCATGTAGGGTACCCTATTTAGGGTCCCTGTAGCAACACCCTAGTTTCTTTTTTGTATTGACATGAGGCTATGTGGACATTTGACTTCGACTACGATTTAATTTATAAACACTTTGTAATTGGTGTTTTTACAACTATACTTTGTATCCACATCTACAACTATATTTTATTATTAGACTCCAAATCATGCGCTTGCATCAACGGCCAGAATTAATGAGAATATGTGCCTAACTAACAACAGATATACCATTATTTTTGTCATGGTGATTATATTTAACTCCTTTTATGTAAAAATTACACAAAAATATATGTAAATCATAAATTACTTTTCACATAATATGCATATATCCCTACAAGTGGACGAACATGGGTCCTAACAGGGACCTAAGAATAATAGGCAAAGAGGCAAAAGTGTACGAAACAAAGAATAGGGAAAACAAAGATGGATTTTTGAGGGGGCTCCCATAATAGGATAGGGGTTTATTTTTTCCGTGTTGTGTTTTTCAAAGAGAACAAATATTGTTGATGGTTTATATAATCACACGGTTAGTTAAATCTAGGATAGGATTGGTTTGTTCAGTGTTGAAGAGGGGCTATTTTCTTCTCTGACTTTATGTCCAGTTCTTAAGTTGGGTATCTGAAGAATCTGCATAAATAGAGATTCATAAGAGGAGGGGGGGTTTAGTTCCCCCGTTGTACCTTCAACGATCAAGTTAGCTATTGAGTGGGAAAATAAGAACTGTGTGTTCTTGTTATTGTGTAGTATTTGCGTTAACATATATATCAGATTTGTGAACCTTTCTCATGTTAGAATAGTACATGTATTTATACTAAGGTGGCAAGAGTAAATTGGTCACTTCGACCGAGAGCAGTGAGGCAGTGGCGAAGTATGGGCTGGCGGCCACGTCGACACTTTCTTTACAGGTGTCGGCCAGCGAGTGGAGGGAAAGTCGTTTCGGTATTAAATGGGAGGATACTGGCGGCATGGTCAGGGCCCACGTGGTCCGATGAGTCATGAATACTATCTGGGCTAGAGTCATGATGGCCTCTGCCAAGCATTAAATGCGATGTTGACACATTGTCACAGAGGGATAGGCTTGAGACAGAAGTTGTCCTCTAACTTCGCCTAGAAGTAACGCCTTTCAAGTCGACATCGTAAGTTGTGAGGCAAGTGGTCAGGTGGACTCGTGGCGAGTCGTCTTCAACAAAGGGGGTGGCAAGTACCACGTTTCGAGTCGACATGGAGGGATGTCGGCTAGACAAGTCGGCTAAGTTGTTATCTCTATTGGTCTTTGGCTGCCAAGTTAATTGGGGCATAGCACGCAAAAAGTATATTTGTTCGTTGCTTAGCACTGAGTTGCACTTTGACGAAATGGGAACACCATAACAACTCCACTATGTATAGAGGCCAAACTCATCATCTCCACCCCCTTAAGAAACTGTCTCTGAGAGATGTTCTCTCAACAACCCCACTTCCAATGATTTTCTCAACTGAGAATGGTTCATTTGGTCACACAAGACCAAGTCAAAGTTACACATCCTACTTGACCAAATTAACCAAGTGACATGCCTCCCACTATCCGTGAGATCATATGTTTCTTCTTACGTACCATTACTCCCACTATTCATAGAGAGTAACTCTTATTTAATTATTCATGAAATTTTACTTGCACTTATTTATTCCTAAGTTCCATCAAACTTACATGTTTGATAAAATATTTCGCTGGTATTTCTTTTGTCAAAGAATCAGCAATCATATCTGTAGTAGTGATATAAGTCACTTTGACTTCTCCCTTTTCTATAATATCTCGAATATAGCGATACTAGATCTCAATATATTTTCTTTTAAAGCTATCCATACCACTATTGATCAAGCTAATCTCTGCTTGATTATCATAATAAATATTAATAGGTCCTTCTAACAAATTGAGATCTAGATCAATCAAAAACCGTCACTACAAGAAATCCCGTATTTAACGACCAAAATTAGTGAAGGGACCTGTCGACCGTCATTAATGTGTATATAATAACGACGGTTTTAAAGCCCTTCATCGAGTAATCACAATTAGTAGAGTAATGATGTGAGATGAGATAACGGTTTTCTAGTCCCTTCGTTGATTTGATCCTAATACTGTCGTTATTGGATCTCCTTAAAGACGAAGGGGTCCATTACCTTCATTAATTATACTCCTAATCATAATAGGACTGAAAAGTTAACCTATTACTATTAACAAAACCCACGACCCATTAAAATCCCCGAAGCCCCATCTAGAACTCAAAATCCAAAATCCCCCTCCTAATCATCCCCCCCCCCAATCGCAGCAATGAAACCCTAGTTTAAAAAAATCACCTTTCTCCAGATCTTCGCCTTTCCATCTCGTCGGCTCCTACTAGTTGCCGTCGACTGATCACTACAACAAATTACACTTTTCCCGACGCTTATTCCCGACGCATGGTTAAATACGTCGCCAAAAATTATGTTTTTCCCGACGATTTTAGTTAGTGTCGGCAAAACATATATTTTTCCCCATGTTTATAATTAGCGTCGCTAAAGGTGTATATTATTTGCGACATTTTAACTTAGCGTCGGTAAAAGTGTACGGATTTCCCGATATTTTTAAATTTCATTGGTAAAAGTATAGCTTTTAGCGACGTAAAAATATTCGTCGCAAAAAAGTATACATTTAACGACGCACGTTAGCATCGACAAAAGTTTAACTTTTAGCGACGAATAATTTTACGTCACTAAAAGTAAACACTTTTACCGACGATATATTACGTCGGCAAAAGTATAGCTTTTAGCGACGTAAAAGTTTTGCGTCACTAAAAGCTATACTTTTGTGGACGCTTTATTATTCATGTGCGTCGCCAAAACCCCCTCTTTTTTTTCATTTCCCCGCCTACTTCTCATTTCCTCCCCCTCTTTTTTCATTTCCCTCTCCGTCTAAAACGGGCCATCCCCCCCCTCCCCCACTCAACACCTCCTTCCTCCCCTCCACTCCCAAGCTCCCCGCCGCCGTCCCCGGTGCCAACCGGGCCCTGACCAGAATCCACGCCAAGATCCGTGAGATATTCATGCCGGCGCTCTCGTCGACGATGACCGAGGGGAAGATCGTTTCTTGGATCAAGTCCGAGGGCGATAAGCTCAGCAAGGGCGAGAGCATCGTCGTCGTCGAGTCCGATAAGGCCGATATGGACGTGGAAACCTTCTACGATGGATATCTCGCCTCAATCATGGTCGAAGAGGGCGGCGTCGCCCCCGTGGGCTCGGCGATCACGTTGCTCACCGAGATCGAGATCGAGCAGGCTAGGTCAAAGGCCCAATCTTCCTCCTCCTCATCCGAAACCCTAGATTCAGATTCCCCTCCGGCGCAGCAAGAAGCCCTAGATTCAGAAAGGTCCACTACTTTATCCATCTCTTGTGTGATTGTCTCTGAGACATGCTCCTCGATCCTTAGATTCAGAAAGGTCCACTACTTTATCCATCTCTTGTGTGATTGTCTCTGAGACATGCTCCTCGATCCTTACTTGCTAAACTAATGAACTTCTGCATTTATTTAAAACCCAAACAGATGCTGGAGGGTCACTTGGCCAACAAAAATTGGTACTTGAGGATCATGTGAACCAGCGGTTTGTATTGCTATCAGAAAGGTAAAGTTTTGATTGCTATTAATTTTTTTGAGGTTACTTGTTTGCTAGAATCTCAAAATTGTTCTGATGAATCCTGATCGATGAGAAGAAGAATTGCTACTTGATGTGGCGATTGGAGACTGTTCTTCATCCAAGAACCATGTAAGAGATGCTCACATCTTGAGCATCTCTTTCCTCTTCATCTTTAGATTTAACCATGTCTATATTGATGATGAATTAGTAAGATTTGGTTCTCGCTGATGCTTTAGTTTTTTTTATTTATTTTTATTTTTATTTGTTAATAATAGGAGGGGGGGAGCTTGGAACCACTTCCTCGGGGATTCTGTACACTTCATTTGCATTTTTCTTGGCAGTGGCTCCAGTTGTGTGGGGGTTCGAAACGAAAAGAGCTCTGCTTCTCATGACTACTGGATATTTGTTGTTCATGGCTTCAAACTTGAAGCCATCATGGTGAGTTTTTCATTATCCCTCATATGGCTTGTGCTAGATGTCGTACATGTGGTAATGCTGGCTCTGCTAATGCTATGCAGAATTTAGTTGTTCTCTGTAATGATTTGTAATAGGTTCTGATTGTTCTACATATTTAAGGTGCGACCAGTTTAGTAGTCCTTTACTCCTACTTGTGAGGACAAAATGTGTGATTTGCTCACATGTTTTATAATCTTTAGGAAAATTATGCAAACAATAAATAGCAGTAGTGGAATTATTTTTATAATCTCAATCGTTATGACTGCTACTCTCTGTTTCTTTGTTATTAATTTGTGAATGAATATCCATAAGACATGCATAATTGAAGTGAAAAAAGTTGAGTGGGAAAATGGATTTAGAGCATTAGAAGGACAATTGCATGTTTTCCTGGACTACATGATAGAGTCCTACTAACTCTGAAGATTGATCTCTTATTTCCATGATGAGAGGCTTGAGAGCCAAACACTGAGTCCGTGTTCTATGTCTTGATCCAAAATATTCAACCAATATCATCTATCTTGTCCTAGTCTTCTAATTTAGCTCAGATTAATGCTGGATGAAGGAGTCTGTTTAGATTTAGGTGGAATCACCTGCTATAATTTATGCATAGGTGGAATCACCTGGGTTTATCTTTTATTTATGTGAATTAAGAAGAAGCCTACAACCATATACATTTACCTATTTGATTGTAATTTATGCATAGGTGTACTAATTCATATCCGATTCATATCCATTTGTCAAATATCAGTTTATATCCGTGATCATATCCGACCCGATTCTCAAATATCCGAACCGTATCCGTATCCGATAAGTGTAGTAATTAAATTTCCTTTGCAGCTTGTTGAACAAGGTACTGAAGGGCTATGCAACTCAGAGTGTAATACTACATATCGAGCGCGCATATCAAGAGGTTAGTAATTACTTTTCTGTTTCACATATGAATCAATGGCACAAAAGATTGCTTTCAAAATTAATCTATTTTTTGGTTTTTTATTGGTAATTATCTAGTTATATTTTTTTGCTGCATATGATTGGATACTCGGATACAGATGTTGCTGAATTTGTATATAAACACCATCCTTCTGTTGATAAATTGGCAAATGTCCTGTGTAAAGACCTTCCTTAGTGTCAAATATACATTGATTTTCATCACTTGGTATGTGGATTGGTCATGGAGGTGTATATGATTCTGTTTCCTTGCTAACACTTATTGCACTTCAAATTAGAAGTGCACTAGTTTGTTTGGCTTCGCTTATATTTTCCCCAGCATTTCGTTTTCACCTCGGTGCTATGCTATAAAAATTAATTCTTAATTGCATCAATTATTCTTTTTTCTTTTTTTTTGCCCTTCCTAGTATAAGCTTTCCAATTTCCACTGCAATATTCTGTGACGTCGGAATTCATGTTGAGTCTGTAATAACACAACTGTAGCATTTGTTGCCTGCTACCTTAGTATCAACCAACATTTGTTTTGTTTTTCCTTTTGGTTTTGCAAGGCTATTCTGGTGATTATACACGACCTCAATGAACATAGGTAAGAAACATGTAGGATGATAATGAGCATGACCCTCTAAAGCATTATTGTTTTAGCAACCTTAGGTTCATATCATAATATTTCAATGCAGTCCGTCAGACTCTGTCTGGATGGTTGTTGGTGTCAGGCTCGTTCTAGAGAATGAGTTTTTCCTTAATGGAGGCAGTGGCTTGCATGAACTGTGATCCTGGAGTCCTGAAAATGACGAGTTTCCAGTCCCTATCAAATGGTTGCTATTGCATGAACTGTGATCCTGGTCTTCCTACCTGTCCATAGGATGAAGACATCCATATCATTGTAGTTAGTTATATGAATTGCAATACTAATTTGATGCTTTCTATTTCCAGTGGTAGATATACGGAGTTCGCAAAGAAACTCATGTCGTGCAACTTTGGAGTATATGCAATGGATTGGATAGGTAGACACCATGTACACACTGTTCTCTGGCACCTCTCTGTTTTGTCCCTTTCTTGCTAAATTTTTTTTGACTTCCATCAATTTGATTACAAGACTATAAAAGCCCATTCAAGCTGAAACTAATTTTCTTCACATGAGAGAGTCTAGAAATGGTGATCTTTACTTCCAAATGATACATGACATGAGAGAGTCTAGAAAGGGTGATCTTTACCTCCAAATGATACATGCATGAATACATGTTAAATATTCTAATTGTGTCAGTTTCTGGTCGATGTTATTTTCCTTTATTATTTTTGGAAAATGTATATTGTGTTACGTTCAGTGTACAAGTTTAGCAGCATTACAATGAGATGGAGAGTTGAAACCCCGGTTTGTCTTGGACCTTGGTGAAATAGCAACAAAGGCACACCTTTCATTCCTCTGAAAATTGTACGAGTAGTGTGCTATGAGTAGTAGTGTTAGCATTACTCATTGTTATCAGCTTTCTTTCATTCATCGTCATCTGTCATTTGCTTCTAAAGATTAGTATGGGAAGCAGTAGAGTTCTTGAATGTATTACCATATGTAGTTCCTTTAATAGAACAACTCTTCTGGAAATACCCTATGACTATCTCAAAGCACAAACCGATAATGTTTTGTGTGTCATAGGTTCTGTTTTTGATTTTAAGGTATTCAAACATTTGTTTGATGTTTACAACTGGTTTATCTTTTAAAATTTCAGGTCATGGAGGCAGTGATGGACTGCACGGATATGTTCCTTCACTAGATCATGTTGTTGCCGATGTTGTAAGTTCTTCCTACTAGTTGGAGATGGATGGGTTAGGGTGTTTGTAATTTCCTTTTTGCGTAATTTTCAAATGCATCTAGTCTCTGTCTGCATGATCTTTGCTATGATTTTGCTTGAAAATCTTGCTTCTGATCCCCCTACTTAATGATCCATCTGTAGTATTTTTAAGTCTCACCGAAGAACATGTTAGTGTATCTAAGCGCTATAAAATATATAGTAGTATTTTTTTGAGCTATATATATGTAGTTTATAATCTGACGTTGCATTTTCTCTAACATGTAATTATTTTTTATAAAATCTCTTATATACTTTTATGATTGACTACTTGCACTTGAGAAAATGAGATTTTTACTTAATAGGATAATAATTTCTTAATTGATATTTTTAATTATGTGATTTTTTTAAATTTTTTAGGCTATCCATGCAAGATTAGGAGGGGGTAGCTCGAGTCTTCTTTTGACGATGATTAGTGATGAAAGAATGTGTCTTCCCCAAACTTTTATTTTAATTTGTTTTAGATAGTTTCATGTATTTTTCTTTGGAACAATTAAGATATTAACTCTTGTTATTAGTATTGAATATTTGAGGATGGTTCATGTATTTTTCTTTGGAACAATTAAGATATTAACTCTTGTTATTAGTATTGAATATTTGAGGATGGTAAAATTTTATTTATTGATATTATTAATGAATGAAATTTTTATTTTCCCTCTTATTCATTATTGGGTATTTTTAATATATTTTTGTTGTGAATCTTAGTGTCAGGTTGAGAATAATATGATAGTTGCCTATGAATGAAAAAATTATTATTAATGTATATTAGAAATTTGTAGTCTACAATGACGGTTTTATAAACCGTATTTTGTTCATCAACGAAGGGAAAGCACCGTCGTTGATGGGTGACTAATTATTCATTATGAGGACTTTTACGACGGTGTCCAACCGTCATTAATTAGTCTTCAACGATGGTAAAATATCCCCGTAACTAATGGTAACGATGAGAAAATATCCCCGTAACTAATGGTAACGACGGGAAAATATCCTGTCACTGATGGTAATGACGGGAAAATATCCCCGTCACCGATGGTAACGACGGTGACAATTACCGTCGTAAATATTAACGACGGTAATATGTTCCATTGTTATGGACTCTATAACGATGGGTAGTACATCCCTTCGTGACCCTTTAGCGAAGAGGGCTTCAACGACGAGTGACGAATGGATTTTTTCCCCGTCGTTATCATACAATAACGAATGTTTTTAGATCTTTAACGAAGGGAAATCCCTTCGTTAAAGATGTAATTTCTTGTAGTGCGTCTTATCTAGACAGCATGTGTAGTTGTCATACTGTAAGCTATATATTTAGCTTCTTGTGTATATCTAGCAACACACCATTGTTTCTTCCTACTCCAAGAAACAACTCCTCCTCCAAAGATGAACAAGGTATATCTAGCAACACACCATTGTTTCTTCCTACTCCAAGAAACAACTCCTCCTCCAAAGATGAACAAGAGACCCGAAGTGAACTTTCCATCATCTTTATCACCTTCAAAATCAGCATTGGAGTAACCAAGGAGATCAAGTGAATCGGCTTGAAAAACTAATTGTAAGAGTCAATGTACCTTTAATATACTTCATAATCCTTTTAACAACTTCCCAAAATGCTGGTCCTGGATTACTTTGATATCGGCCGACTAGACTTACAACATAAGTTATATCAGGTCTGGTGCACAATATTGTATACATCAAGCTTCCAATTGTTTGAGCATATGAAACATCTAATGGCTTTTGGCCCTCTCTAGGGCTTTGATCTTTACATAATCTCTTTCCCATGACTAACGGTGTTAGCACCAGATTGGAATTCTCCATTCCAAACCTTTTCAGAACTGGCCTTAAATATTTTTCTTGGTTTAAACTTAGCATTTTAGACTTTCTATCTCGAATTATTTAAATTCCAAGAATATATGATGTATCTTCCATGTCTTTCATCTCAAACTTTTCGCTGAGATCTATCTTGATTTTATTCAACATTTCTATGTCATTTCCAGCAAGTAATATCATCCACAAATAATGATAGTATAGTAAATTTGGCCCTACTTTTCAAGACATATACACAATTATTTAATTTATTTTGAATAAAACTAAGTTTAGTGATTGCATCATGAAATTTGAGATACCATTGTCTAGAAGACTGTTTTAAACCGTATAGAGATTTTATTAATTTGTAAATTTTATGTTCCTATCCTTTCACCTGAAAATCTTTAGGTTGTTGCATATATATCGCTTTATTCAACTCTCCATTAAAAATGTAGTTTTAACATCTATTTGGAATAACTCCAAATCAAGATATGCAACAATAGTCAAAATAATTCTAATTGATGCAAATTTAGCTACAGGAGAATACGTCTCTTAAAAATCTATTACAGCCTTCTGGTTGTAACCCTTAGCAACCAACCGTGCTTTGAATTTATCAATAGATCCATCAATATTATATTTCTTTTTAAGCACACGTTTGCATCCTATGGCTTTTCTATTTTTTGATAGATCACATAACTCTTATACCTTATTCTTTTCTATAGAATCAAGTTTTTCTCTCATGGATTCTAGCCATAAAACTGATTCATGTGATTTCATCGCATCAGAGAAGATTAAGGGATCTTGTTCTTCTATATTTATATCTACAGAGAAACAAGATGGCTCACATAAATACAAATAGTAATCATCCATCCATGAGGGTTTTGTTCTTGGCCTTTTGTTGCCTACAACCGGTTGATGAGGTACATTATTTTTCCTAGGTATTTCATCATTTTCAATATTAGGTTCATTCACAATATCAGGGTCATTCAACACCGTAATAATCATCATCTATTATAGTTAGAGGTTTTGTTTCCTCACGAACTTGTTCCTCTTCCTCTAGGTTCATCTAGAAATATAGCATCTCTGCTTTTAACAACCCATTTTTCTTTTTTGTAGAACTTGTAACCTTTTGACTTTATTGAATACCCTATAAATCTATACTTTATTGTTTTAAAATTCAACTTATATCTAAGTTGATATGGAATAAGAACATGGGCTATAGATCCCTACTTTCTGAGATGACTCAGATTAGATTTTCTTCTATTCCATAATTCATAAGTTATAGATACAACTGATTTGGTGGGAATTATATTTAAAATACAGTTTGCAGTTAACAATTCTTCTCTCCAAAAGTTTTTAGAGAGACCATAATAAGACAACTTGCATCTAACTATATTCAATAATGTTCTGTTCTTTCGTTCAGTAACACCAGTCTGTTGTGACGTATATGACATTATTGTATGCCTTTTAAGTCCATGCTGAATACAATAACTCTCAAATTCTTTAGAGTTATAATCCCCACCCTTATCAA